ATGAATGAATGTAAAATCCCTTTGCATCCACATGGAACGTTATTATCTTGGCACCCCCCACCCCACACTCCTCCTGCCGTCCACCACTACTTCTTACTTGACTGAATGTAAAAGCCGTTTGCATCCACATGGAACGCTATTATCTTGGCTTAGTTTCTGAACAGTCTAACTTGGTTTCTGAATCGGCCGTTTTGGTTTCTGAGTCGGCTGTTTTGGTTTCTAAACCGGCTGTTTTGGTTACTGAATCGGCTCTTTTGGTTACTGAATCGGCTCTTTTGGTTTCTGAATCGTGGTTGCTGAATCGCCTGGTTTGGTTTCTGAATCGGGGTTTCTGAATCGGCCCGTTTGGTTTCTGAATCGTAGTTGCTGAATCGGCCATCTTGGTTTCTGAACCGTAGTTTCTGAATCGGCTGTTTTGGTTCCTGAATCGTAGTTGCCTGATCGGTTGGTTTCTGAATCGGCTACTGACCCTCGAAGTTGGTTGCGTCGAATGTTGGCTTGGGAAGCTTGGTCGGGTAGCCATTGCTTCTTGTTCCCATGGGTTGAGAACCTGATGTTGAGTTGCTGAAGTATTTCAAAGCCGATTCGGTGTTGATCTTGTCTGCATACTGTTGCTGCTGGTCCTGTTGCAACGTTGGTGAGGGTGTATTTCAAGTTGTGACCAAGTTGTACAGTATCCGTTTCTCTCCTTCTTCTGTTGTTGTTGCTGCCGCTCTGAGTTCTGCTTCTGTTCGTGTGATTGTTGCTACTTCTGAGCGTCATGTAGGCCTGTGTGTGCCGTGAGTGTGCATTTCCACTCTTCGGATGTGGTGTGTTGGTGCTAGCTGGTCTGTTGTCTCCTCTTCGGTGACTGCCTGTAGTGCTGTTGACTGTGATGCCATTGTCTGCTGGTTGTTGTTGAGAGTCCCCCAATGTTGGGATCAAGCCCTTTGCCGTGTGGCGCGCCCCGGAGGGTTGCTGCTTGCTCGGATGCTCTGTTCTGTCCTTTGCTTGTTGTGCGCAGCGGTTGGTGGCAGAGCTCCGCTACCATGTTAAACCGCAACTAGGTGCAAGTCTTGTTTCACAAGTGTTGTGAAGCAGCTCACTGTTGACTCGTTGGGCAATGGCTCAAGGCCTTGTTGAGCCCAAGGGCATGTACACATAGGTGTTGTACAGAAACGACTCTGAACACAACCAACCAACCAACCAAAAAAAAGAACAAGTCAACATGTCGTCTCGGTTGTCGCCTCTGATGCTTCCCGCAGTTCTGGCCGCGGCTTTGGAGCCTCGGGCGAAAAGCTTCGCGATTTCGCATCTTTGACATCTCACATCCAAACTGACATGAAACAAAAATGAATCAATTGAATCAAATCAAGAAAACGGATTGTTGAATTACATGCAATTTGACTTCAGGTCCTCTTTTGCCTTGGCATTCTGAGTTCAGCGACCCTATCCACTGAGGTCTTGGTCTGGCCAGACTTTGTGACCTTCGGCTTCTTGTGAACCTCGAGGCGATCGTCGTTTGTTTCAAACAATGCACAACACGCTTTATCCGCAGAAAAGTTTTAGGATGTATTTCCTTCAGAAGTCTCCATGAGCAGGAACGCATGGAAGAATGTAATTATCTGGTGCATGAGCCGTGCCTCATCCTGCTTGTCCTTGACGCTGCCCACCTGCAAAAGGAGCGTCCAACACAGCATACATACTAGAGTGTCCAACATTGCCCATGCTGGAGTGCAATCTCGGTTAACCTGGCAGATTTTGGCATCTAGCTAGCCGGATACTAGGACTTCCCAACAAGGACGTTGTCTTGTCACGTCTTGTCCCCGTCATGTCTTCTGTTTTTCAAAGGATTTCTGCTGCTTTCGGCCGCTTTTGTGCCTTGGACTGGCTCACTGGACCTCGCCGCTCGCGGTCCTTCCTGCCACGAGCAGCTTGCAAAGTTCTCAGTGTGATTCAAGCTTGCAACACTTGAAATGGGTTATCTATCATCGATCTGCACCCTTCAACGCATGCCTGTTGGGTGGTAGTGATAAGACTCTGAGAGCATTGGAGTTTTCCAGTCTGCTCCAGCCTGTGAGGAACTTGTCTTGGGAGCGGTTTCACCTGCAAATAGAAGAATAGAGGAATCAAACTTTTTCATGTTTGGGAAAGTTTGTTGGTTGATGCAGAAGGGCGACCAAAGCAGGACAAATTATGTGGCTCAAAAGAACAGGGGGTTGATTCGTTCCTGCCGATCAAGGTGTTGAGGGGCCCTGCTATCAGCCACGACAATGTAAATATCAAGACTTTAGCAGTTCTTGTCGGAATGCAGTAGAAGGATGTCCAAAGCCTCACCGGATCTGTCTTCCCATTGGGTGATTGGCAATTCAAAAGGAAAGTCTCATTGCTCAGAGGTCCTTTTATTACTTTCCCCATCATTATTCTCTGCATGGCTCGGCTCTGCCAATCCTAGGGATGGCCTCCAACCTACTAGCGATGGCCTCCACCCTAGTAGCAACGTAATGGATGGCCTCCAACCTGAGAATGGACCTCCTAAAGAATGGATCTCGAAAGCGCGCAGCACGGGGCCTCCTTTGGAGGTGGAGCCGCTCTCTGTGCCTCGGTTATCGTTGGCCAACAGCAGACTGCCTGACTCCAAATCATTGCGGCAACATATTATGTGCAATGTTTGGTTATGTTTGTTTGCATGTCTGAAGTATTTAGGTGATATCTTTTTGGCCACACTGGTACCAAGAGCTTTTGCTGTGTGAGATTGTTTCAAGCCACCCGTGCCTTTTTGGGAGCCTTGGGAGACTCCTTTGTCGGCAGCAATGGCAAAGAATCCGGCACCTCGCGACCAAAGCAGCACCGTGGCAAACAAAGAAATGTGTTTGACTCCTTGACTCTGCATCCCAAAAAAGAGTAAACCGAAACACAGAGTCTCCCACCCTCGGCAGCACTGGAGTTGATTTCACATGCCTGGCGGATAAAGTGGGCGCTTGCGTAGTTTGGAGACTGGTACTGTTCGAGTTGGTCAGAACAGCTTTTGGAATGCTGCTTGTTTACTTGAAAGCAGAATCGAACTACAAGCCCCAATGTGTCGGCCAGTACTCTACTTGAATGAACAATTAGCAATGGGCGGGAGCAAAGCTCCAGCACTTTGAGAGCTCAACTGAGTCTCAAGTATTCAAGAATTCATGAAAGTCGAAGTTCAAGGCCAACTAAAGCGCTGCTGCTTGACAACAGTACCCATACTTACGCATTACATATATAAAGATTCTATGCTATACACTTCAACACGCTTGAACCAAGTTTGTTTCACCCTGTGTGGCCTCACTGGCTGGCTTAATCTGGCAGCACTAGCAGCCTCATCAGTGTTCCAAACTTCCTCAACTGCAAGACTCATCGATTTAGCAAATCGTCTGCTGAGATTGATACAGACCCCATATCTAGTTGGGGGTTGCAAGAGTTCTGATTAACTTAGTAAATAATACAGCATTTGAAGTAGACCATCAATCATGCATGTTCAGATGAACATGAAGATTCATACGATGCCTCGGACCATTCTGTCTTCGGTCTTCCCACCTGCTGTCTCTCTAAGCTTGGCAAAGAGGGCAGCGACACCTCACAGCACTCTCACAGCACTGCGGTCACGGTGGTACCGCCACCGCCGACGCAACTTGTGATCCTTGCTCACTCTTTTTCGGTCTTGAACCTAGCATCTCAACACGAAGAACGCTTCAAACAAACTGGAGACGGTGAAGAACAAAAAAAGAAACAACATGAAACAAATACTTCCGGACTGCTTTTCATCTGTTCGGATCTGTTCGGGGGGTGACTCCGCCCCTCGGCCCAGAGACACAATGAGACACCCGGAAAGGACTTTAGTTGCTTCACTAGCCGCTTCAATATGTTTTGAACGATTTGATTTGAGAGTGTTATATAAATATAAGACATTTAAAAAGGTCTAAAGGCAAAGCAAAAGGAAAGAAGGACATTTAAAACGTGAAGAATAGGAACATGAAAAAGCACGGTTTTCTTGAGGCCACCAAGGCAGCAGCTTTTGGCTCTGGGGACTTTGCTCGTCCGAGCCTCGCCATAACGACACAAAGCGATCCACGCGGCGAACGAATTCGGGGTAGCGACCTGCCAACAAGCCTAGCGGCCTAGCGTAGCCTAGCGGCGAATTCGGAGCAAAAGGGATGTTCTGCGCATCACGGCCACCCAAGTGCTGGGCACGTGATGCTCACCGCAGAAGAGAAACTGTCCCAAGGGCTTGGCAGTCCTTCGATCACTTCACGTTTCAGCCTGCTTCCCCCAAAAGCTGCGTGCTCAAAGCTTTCGAATGAGTCGTCACACCATTTGTAAGAAAGTCATCATTTTTTGTGGGCAAATCACCCGGATAGTGTCAATTCATGTCAGTTCATTTCCCATGGTCAGTCATGGCCAGTTCTCATCGTGCTGCAAAAGATGCCTGACAGAGCAAACATCAGAGCCATTTTGGAAGCACAAATAGTCAGGATTGACATCTTGCGCTGGGAGAGGTTAAATTCGACACAAAACCACCGCTCCAGGAGCCAAAGACCGGGCCCTAGCCTGTCAAGACGCTTTTGAAACCTCGCCACGTCATAGAACTACATGTTGCTCATGCACATCTCCTAACATGCCCAACATGTTCCTAGCTTGCCCGAGCTTGCCTTCGCCCTGAGGCGGTCTCTCAACGTGCCATGGAAGAAAGCTGCACCGACTCTGTTTGGCACGCAAGCCAACACAAACATGACTCGGAGGCTCAGAAAACTAGCATCATTGCGCTGAATTGGACTGAGTGTAGCAAGGGCTGGGTGAATACCTAGACGCATTGAAATGTATTCTCCCATGGGCAGATTCTCGACAAATCTCGACAATATCTTTGTGCCTTCGATGCATTTGTGACCCAGAAGCCAACATGGCTTGCGAGGTCAACTGTCATTGTTGTGCCACTTGCAATTGCAATGCAGCTGCCTACATGCGAGGCCCAGCGCAGCATGTCCTTTTCTCCAGTGCTCTTGACTTTGGACGCCTCTTCTTGAGGCGCAAATTGCAGATCCTGCCTACACATTTGGATCTCTCTCTGAATTAGGGACTTCACAGCGGCTAGTTGAAATACAATGAAATATCAATGAAATAGGTTCCTGAAGTCAGAGACAAATCCAACTTGGACTCCGGTCAATGCTGCCATTTTACGCAGCAGTGCCAGCGTGGCATTTCCAGAGAATCATTGCATGCGGCAGAGACTCACTTGCCGCTAAGCCTCGATCTCATAGTCAACTTGCCAACTTGCCGCAGAGAACGAACAAAATGAAAAAAGAAAGGTCTAACGGTCTAGACTCAAAAAAACACACTGAGAACAATAATACACTTTGAAAGGTCCAGAAATAACACCTTCGAATTTTTGAGTCAATTTTGGGACGTCCGAAAAGCTTTCAGTGTCCGGGCAGTCCGAAAGCTTCATCGAGCAGAAAGAGCGCCGGAGCGGCTGACCGCTGTACCTCAAAGCGTGCGGTGCAGCTTCGTGCCATGCGGCTTCGTGCCTTTCTTCCTTTTCTTCTTGCTTTGTTTCTATTGGCGATGGCCTCCTTTTGTGTCTGTTCCTTTAGATGTTGTACCTTAAAATACATGTTTCCTTTAAACATCTTCAAACCATCTAAATCCTTCCTGACTGTCTTCCTTTCAAAGCCATGTAGAACAATCTCGAAGACTCCTGAGATGTCTTAACGAATCGCTGACTCGGTGAAGTCTGAGATCATGGCTGCCGGCAATGCTAAAGAACTTCCGGGAAAGATCCTGCACCTGCAATAGTTTGTGTACTTGACGAGTTGCAATTCTTGCGGACACTTGGCATGACCTTGACAGCAAGGGGTTGACACATTCAACTGTCAATTCAGTGCCTGCCAGTGGTGGTGCAAATTGTCCAATCCTCAGATGTGGAGTTCAATGGTGCAAATGGGACATTAACTAGCCCTTGCTGCGAACAAAAATGGGTAGTTGTGACTCAGGATACTTGGGTCTTGAAGTAAGATCTCGTATTTTCACGTACCACGTACCTCCGTACATCTACTTGTCCAAACTTTGCTTGGCCTAAAGAAAATACCTTTAAACAAGGGTTTGCCAAAAAGGACAGTGTGGGACTTCACAACTCACCAACGCCGACCAATCTGGCGGCCGGGCGGTCTTTCGGCTTCTCCGGCCACCGCTGGATGCGCTCCAAGACGGACTCGCCTTTCAAACCTGGGCGCCTCGGATAAAAGGAGATGTCACCGTGCACTGAGCACGCTGTTGATGTCTGATTGCATGTGTGAAGGTTGCGCAAGAATAACCAAGGTATATATGTATTTTGATGTTTTTTGTATAGTTTTGTGAAAAACTGGGAAGTGTCAAATAACTTAACTTCAATGCACCTGGGATTGCCCTCGATGTAGCCTTTGTACTGGCAGGATGCTACTGCTGCAAAAAGCACAAATCTCGAACCAAAGAAAACGAAAGACTGTCCTCAAAGTCGGAATCCACAGTGGCCGGGAGAAAACCTCAATTGAAAAGTAACAGCTCGTGTGCACTTGATGTCACTCCCAGTGGAACCTCCAAAACCCCAAGCCAAACTCAAAGAAGAAGTAAATGAAAGCCATGATCCATGAAAAAACACAAGCCAAGTCCAAGCTACGCATGGACGGTGCATGTGGCCATTTCACCACGGGCTCCAGGGTCGGATTGCTCTGAAATATCAACTCCTCTCAGATGCGCAGTCTGAACTGTAGCTTGCCGATAGTTTAGCAACTGCCAAACGTTGTTCTTTGGCTGTCGGAACACCGGTGCAAGTCCAAAAGTATTCCGAACCCGTCCGTGCCTGCAAAGATGCCAGGTCAATGTCTCTATCCTTTTCACTGCACATATGGAAGGCCTGAAGGTGGCCAGAACCTTCATAAGCATGATCCATATTTTTCTTTGCTTGCCGCGAATACATCCCAAGTGTGCCTTCAAGTCCTTTTTTCACGAACAGAATGTCCTTTTTTTTTGCGCAAGTTTTACATATTTCGTTGCCAAATCTGGCACATTGAGTGCCCTCTCAAGCTCGACATGCGCGGCCCCCGTCAAATCTGGCAAAGGACGACCCGGTTTGCAAACTTTAAAACTGTTTTATCAGGACTTCAAAACTGTTGTCGATCGCCCATGCTCAACGTGATCAGCCTGCCAAGTTGTGGACGGGCCACTGGCTAGTCAAGAGCCGGTAAAGGAGGGGAAACATCTGACACCACATTAGCACCCCACACAAAAGTAGTATATCAAACAAGAATACAAGTGTGGGCGGGCAGTTGTCAAGAGCAACCCTGGAAAACACATGTCACATGGCAAAAGGAAACCAGAAAGGCGCGATGTGAAACAAGTAGAGGCACAGTGTGTCGGCCATAACGGGGCCCCACGAAGGCAAAAAATGACGGAAACATAGTGAGGAAGCAACTGCTGGCGCCACCACAGCATAGGAAGGTCATGTCAAAACGGGCTGAAGTGAGGCAGCCCAACGCCAGCAAAGCGAGAAGAAACAAGACCACTATGTTGCTACGCCCCCGCTGCAAAGTAGCGCGGGCGCAAAAGAGTGGACTTAGCTCTTGCAAGAAACGGTTGAAGCAAAGAGCTGGTTCGACTGGATGGTATGCTTCGAGGTCGTGAAGGCTTTGCGCTCCCAGGCACCGGTGCATTTCACCAAGCATGGGAAGGAATTGCATTCCCCCCCAGCAGCCACACTCAGATTTGTCCAGGTTCAAATGAATTCCAATTGCAACAGCTCGGGCTTCGACCAGGCGAGGCGCGGCGCTAGCGATTGGGAGGGGGACCTCACTCAACAAGTTGCCAGTGCGTGCGTGTTGCTTGCAGGATGAGGTGTCCGAGCGGGTGGAGACCGAAGGAATTGGCGAAAGCAACCTTTGAGAACGACCTTCGAAGAAAAGCTGTGCCATCGGTACAATACCCTGGTGCGCGCGTGGCCTCCTCGGCGCTCTTGGGGCCACAGGCACCAAGCGCAGCGGGACGAGTAAGTAAACAAAAAGCCTTCGCTGGAACCAGCATTCTTGATGCAAATCTGTGGGCGTTGGTGCCGTTTTTGCCAGGAAGGCTGACAGCGACTCACCACCTGTGCAGCCAGCTCAGGCGGTGAGCTCCGGGTGGTACGGGCAAGCTGGACAGGCCCAGGGCTGCAAGCTCCTGGCTTCGTCGCCTTTCAAGAGCTTCTGACCTCGACGGAGTCGCCGATGCACGATGTGCTTTGGTGGAACGTTGCGCACGGTCTACGCGAAGTGACCGGGACTACTAGGAACAAGTGCCACGCTACTAGTAACAATTAGACTTAAATTAAGTTTAAATAGCTTCTTGTTACTACTAGTAAGGCACCTGTTACTACTAGCGTGGCACCTGTTCCTTCACTTTTGCCAAGGCACGGCAATGGCTGCGAGGATGCCCCGTGGGTTTCCCACATATCTTGCACTCGTCCGGTCGAAGCGGACACGCCACCACATGGCATCCAACAGCAAAGGCCTGGACAGGAACAGGAGAAGCCAAGAGAAAAAAACTCAGCAACAAGGGAAATGCTATGAATCAGCAAAGCTATGGTTCTCGAGCGGAATCTCGACCTGCCTGTACGGCAACTCATCCATGGGATCAATCTTTTCTTCAAAGAAGGCTGACAACTTTTCTAGGTCCTTCACAGTGAGACGCAATGCATCGCTACTTACTAGGAACAAGAAGCTACTAGGGGCTCCTGGCCTTACCCTGGCCGTACT